TTTTGAGACAGAGTCCGCTTGTTGCCAGGCTAGAGTGAGTGCCATGGCGTCAGCCTCGCTCACAGCAACCTCAAACTCCTGGGCTCAAGTAATCCTTCTGCCTCAGCCTCCCGAGTAGCTGGGACTAGCAGTGCAGACCACCATGCCCAGCTAATTTTATATATATATTAGTTGGCCAAAATTATTTCTAGTTAGTAGAGGATGGGTCTCGCTCTTGCTGCAGCATTAACATTTTATTAAAAGCAGACATTTATATACAGATAAGTGATGCTGTGGATACTAAAGCTGGACAGATAATGACCTGAGTCTATTTTGCAGAGGAAAGGCAACCAAGGAGTAAATGAAATCAGTCAAGAAAATCATTCATCTCAATATTTAACTCTCATGCCACCCTGCTTAAGCTGCAATCCGACAGACATTACCTAGAATACTGAATAATAGAAGTGATGAGAAAGGAAACATGTTACCATTAAAGTCTTACCATTAAAGTAGAATTTCAGCCTATTGGCAAATACATTGGTTGCTGGGATATTGAGCTTTGAAGCAACATGCTCTACAATACTCCTAAAGCCACCAGATATTAGGAAAACCTGAACATTTCGCTCTTGGAGGCGACTTACCAACTCCCTGGAAAAATAAAATACAAAATACCAAACATCGATCAATAGAGAAAAAAGAGATTGCATAAAAGAGAAAAAAAATGAAACATGAATAGGAAACTAAAATATATTTTTTTCTCCTGAATGCATCTGCCTGAGGTACATCTGACAAGGTATACTGTCTGGGGAATTAATGTTTTACGTATGTTTTTCTAAATGCACTTAGAAATTAATGGGTGGGGCATGACTGCTCTAGGAAACCATTCTACAACCATGGACTCAGAAAAACACAAGATGAAGAAACACAAGGAAAGCCTGGGTTCTCCCTGGGGAGAGAGGGAGGGCAGACACGGCAGGACTGACACCCAGCCAGACAAGACCTTATGTAAGTGCCAAAGAACCACAATAGTTAGAAACTCTCAGGACGAAGTGCCCCAAAACACCGGTGCTGAAAGGGAGACGGTATACCCAGCACCAAGGCTCCTCTTACCTTATGCCGGGCGTCAGGTGAGGGGGGTGCTCTGCTATGAGCCTTTGCACCTGTTCTCTGGAGGGCTGGATCAGCGCCAAGCGCTCCGTGAGAGCAGCTTTGAAAGGCACTGCCCCACCCATGGCTCGCCGCGTCCTAGGAGAGTAAGACCCAACAGTCAGGCCAGCCATGTTGGCTGTGCTCAGATTCCACACGCCCTGCTGCCCTAGGTCTTTACCCACTATGAGGAAGGTGCTGCCAAGAGCCCACGGTACAACAGACACGCTATGTCAAAGTCTGGGAATAAACTTTTGAAGGTTTGCTTGAGAATTACATTAATATTTTGGGGCCATGTGCTTTGTATCAACAAATACACCAGCCAGTGATCTGAGAAAATCACACATCCTATCCATAGGTACATTTCTTGAAAGCTGCGAGCTTTTGCAAACCAAGAAAGAAACCAAAGGCTGGATGCTCTTGCATTGAATGCAGCTGAAAATGAAAAGGTTCATGGTGGCTGGGGCTGCGGAGGGAGGGGACACAGCTGCAAAGTGGGGGGGCAGGCAGGAGGGAGGGGCTGTGACCCAGGATCCATGGAGAGACTCAACCAGAACCAGCCTTCCAGTGAACCATGAAGGCCACATCCCCGACCATGACCCAAAGTGCCGGACACCTGGAGGCCCCCAGGCCATCTTCTTGGTTAAGTATGGTCATTTCCCTGACCAAGTTAAGAGCATGTCTTCTCCATATTTGTTTGCCATAAACATTTACATAAATGGATGAATGAAAAATGTAAACACCAAATTCAGTTCTCAATGATGGAAGAAAAGGCCTAGTGCCCACATTTCATATCCAGGGACTAAAATCCAGGAATTGTGGCTCTGGTCTAACATTTCATCTAAAACAGTCACTCTTTTGAAAATCTTTTATCATTTCATAAAGTCAATAAATATTGTCCTTACATTTCTGACACAGCATCCTCAACACCACAGATTTTGGCCAGTTCATCAATTCCTTCTTCTCTGATAACTGTGCTATCAACATCAAAACAGACTGCATCTGCTGAACAGAAAAGTTTCCTCAACTCTGAGTGGGAGACCATCCTTGGAAGAATTTTCCTCCTACAAGAGAAAAAGATAAATGTATTGAAGGACATAAAATATAATTATAAAAAGATCCATCTTTACCTACTTTAATCTACTTTAATTTGTATTAAAATCAGTGCAGCCCACATGAGCATGTACTCCCAGATTCATTCATTTCTTCACACATTAATTAGCACCTTCTAAATGTCAGGCTCAGGGATTATAAAAACGAATGGGATCCAAACTCTGCCTTCAGGAGGTCAGTCTAGTGAAGATACCAACTAGTAAATATATTTGATGTTGAACCAATATTCAATTATTTTTGACCCAATAATTATAGCAAAAAGGCTAGTGTTAAAGCACAGATGTGTGTATACAGCACTGTGGCCCAAGTAGATAAACAGGGCTTCAAAGAGGCACTGGCATTTGAGCTGAATCTTGACAGGTGAGCAGCCCTCCGAGTGGGTTCTCAAAGGGCAGGGCATCAATTTGGGGTTTGCTGGGAGTAGGGGGAACGAAGGTGAGGTAAGGAGAGAGGTTGTGATAGCAGAGGGAAGAGCATGAGTGAAAACAAGCAGGAAGAATGAGCAGATGACCTGCTGGAAGCTTCCCAAGGGCTTGGCCCCACTGCCTGGCAGTGCACGAGGAGTTCAGACCAAGAGGAGCCCAGGGCCAGGCGAAGGAGTTTAGATTTTAACTTCTAGGTAATGGAAAACCTTGATGGGCTTTAAGCCTTAGAAGAGAGGTTAGAGCTAAATATACACATTGGTTAGTCGCCAGGGTAGAGGTGATAGCTGAAGATATGGTCTGATTACACCCACCAGGGAGACAGACAGAGAGAGGGAGAAAAGAATAGGGCTAAGGACAAAGTCCACAGGACCACATCTGTGTCACAGGCCTGGGGAGGTGACCGAGAAGGAGAGGTCACAGGAAGAGACTCAGACGGGCACACTGCTGCAGAAGCTAAGAAAGACAGAATTTCTAAAAGAATTTGGGTTTTTTTTGTTTTTTTTTTTTATTTTTTTATATCTTGGTATCTTTACAAGATATTTATCCGGGATTAAGCTGGTTAAAAGTCAGCATAACTTGGTGTCAGTTAATCTAGATCAGATAATGGCAGCCTTGGAAATGGACACATTCTGATATTTAAGATACTGGTATGGATTGCTTCCTGTTGATTTAAAATGCTGCAATAAAACCTGTAGTCTCAAACAAATTCTTCAAGAATACAAATGTTCCGATACCCTTAGGTTAGCCTTCCTCAGTAAAGAACTAATTACTTCCTTCCAGGGGATTAATGAGATTGGTATGAAGAAATATTATAAATTTACAATGACATAAGTCTTGTATAATTTAAGTTTCACAGGGACATGGCTTCCACTGTAATCTAGCACTTAGGAGGGTTTTGGGAGTTCTTGAGCTCAGGGTTCAAACGACGCTGAGCAGAGAGACCTATCTCTACGAAAAATGGGAAAACTTGGCCAAGTAATGGTGGCACCGGTGCTATGTCACGATACTTGGGAGCTGGGCAGGGAGTCGTTGGCTAGGGTTTTGAGGTTTGCGTTGGCTTGTGATGATGCTGCACTCTACTGGATGAAGAGTGAGACTCTGTCTCAAAAAAAGAGAGAAAAGATAGTTGTTTAGGTATTATTTGGGCTGGGCCGGTGGCTCACTGTAATCTAGCTCTGGGAGGCCAAGGGGCGGATGCTCAGTTCGGAGTAAATCAGCCTGGCAATGAGCGGGATCCCGTCTTTACTAACCATAGAATAATAATGGCCAATAAAATTTATAGAAAATTAGCCGACGCATGGGAGTATCCGCTCTCGGGGGCTATGGCAAGAGGTCGTTGATGTCAGAGTTGGTTGGTTAGCTAGGCAGTACACGGCATCTGTCGGAAAGAGCCAGATCTGTCGCAAAAAAAAAAAAAAAAAAGTTTTGAAGATTTTTTAGTCTTATTCATGGCCTTTTCTTGAGTTTGAAGTAACTGACATAGGAGATTATTTGTATTTAGTTGTTTTGTTTTTTCTATTTATATGAATTAGTTATTTTGGTTAATTCCTTTGTAAATCTCTTGTATTCAAATGGCTAAAAAAAAGTAATGAAAACAATTGTTGATTCATAATACAGCGGCAGGCAGCTTCTGTCTGTGGTCTTTCAATCATGATTTTTTTAATGAAATTTTTCTTTAAAAATTAATAACTTTTCCTTTCCGATTCAGTGTTGGTTTGTGTTGTCAAAACTGATTCCCTTAAAAGAAGATAAAATAGTGTTTAAAAGAGCTTAGAGGATTTACTGAGCAGCTTCTTTGCATAGTGATAATCCCAAGTTAAATGTCACTGAAAGGCTAAAAATGGCCTTCAGGTACGTCACCAGCCTGGAATTTATACCTCTGGGAATACAAGTTTGCTTTTAATTACAAACCACTTGGTATAAGACACCTTGTAGTGAATTGTTTATCTCTAGCTCAGTGTAGTAATTCTAACTCACTGAGGTGGCGAACACAATAAATAGTAAATATAATTTAAAATGTTATATAATTTCATACAGGATTCAATATATTAATCATTATTTGCTATCTACAGTAATTCCACTTTATCTTTTTTTTTTTTTTTTTTTGGACAAGTCTCGCTTGTGCCAGCTATTTAGTGGGTGCCGTGGGTCAGCTTGTCACAGACTAAAGCTATGGCTCAAGTAATCCTTCTGCCTAAGGCCTCCCAGGTGCTTGGGATAGGATGTGCCACTCATGCCGGCTAATTTTTATATTAATTAGTTGGCATTATTTCTTTCTATTTATAGTAGGACGGGTCTCATCGTTGCTCGGCTGGTTTTGAATCCTGCCTGAGCAATCGCCGCTCGGCTCCAGGGTGCTAGGTTACGGCGGTGAGACCGCGCCGGCCCACATTTTTTTGACTTCATTTTTTTTTCTTTCTTTTTTTTTTTTTTTGGACAGAGTCTCCTTTGTTGCCCAGGTAGAAGTTGAGTGCCGTGGCGTCAGTAGCTAACAAGCACTCAACTCTGGGCTAATGTGATCCTACTGCCTCAGCTTCCAAGTAGCTGGGATACAGGCATGGTGCACATGCCCGGCTATTTTTCTAATATATATTAGGTTGGCATTAATTTTTTCATTTTTAGTAGGACGGGTCTCGGCTCTTGATGCAGGCTGGTTTCAACTTGACCTCAGAAATCGCCCGCTCGGCTCCCAGGTGCTAGGTTCAGGCGTGAGCACCAGCATTTTCTTGTCTTTTTTTTTTTTTTTATTTATTTTCTTAATTTTGCTCATAACAGACTGGAGAAGCATTTTCAATGGTCTCTATCTGTACACCTTTCACAGTTCTTTAAAACATTTAAAAGGTAATATTATATGGTTTTTAAATATCAGCACCCTGACATAAATGGAGAGCTCTTGAAATATAAAACTACAGCTGTGGCTCTGCTCGGTCAGAGAGTGGCCCCAGGTGAATACACCCCAAGGCTGATACAAAGCGTTAATCACTAACAAATCTCCCTTCCTGGCCGGGCACAGGTGGCTCCACCTGTAATCCTGCCTTGGGAGACGAGGCGGCGCGGAATTCTTGACGGTCAGAATTTCACAACAGCCTGAGCAAGACGAGACGCCGTCTCTCTACTATAAATAAAAGAATTAATTGCGGCAACTGTATATAGAGAAAAAATTACGGGCCGTGTGGCGATGCCTGAGGCAGGAGGCTGAGGCGGATTGCTTGAGCCAGGAGTTTGAGGTTGCTGTGAGCGAGCGTGACGCCAGAGCACTCCTCTAGCCTGGGCAACAAAGCGAGACTCTGTCTCAAAAAAAAAAAAAAAAAAAATTCTCTTCCTAGTCTATCTTGTCAAATGCTTAACAATTTCATAAAATTAAAATATAAAAAACAAATAAGTCATGTAGGATACATGGGCATTACATTTTATTAAAAGCGATTTATATACAGATAAGTGATGCTGTGGATACTAAAGCTGGACGGATATGACCTGAGTCTATTTTGCAGAGGAAGGCAACCAAGGAGTAAATGAATCAGTCAAGAAAATCATTCATCTCAATATTCTACTCATGCACCCTGCTTAAGCTGCAATCCGACAGAGCATTACCTAATCTGAATAAATAGAAGTGATGAGAAAGGACATTGCATTAAAGTCTTACCATTAGTAGAATTTCAGCCTATTGGCATACATTGGTTGCTGGGATATTGAGCTTTGAAGCAACATGCTCTACAATACTCCTAAAGCCACCAGAATTTAGGAAAACCTGAACATTTCGCTTTGGAGGCGCCTTACCAATCCCTGGAAAATAAAACAAATCCAAACAATGATTCAATAGGAGATTTGATTCATCTTGATTTACGTGGCTAAATAATTATTTGGCCAAATTTGATTATTTGGTTAAATGATAAGTTTTTCAAACTTATCAAACAGTTTATATATGCTGTTAGGAGTTATCTCTTAATTCATTTAGGGGAAAATGCTAATCTTCCTTTGTGATTAGTAAAATTTGTTTTTATTTCTTTTACTGCATGTGATTTTTTTCAAATATCCATTTTTTTTTAAGGTCAGTCCTTTTGTGTAAGGCTCCATTGTTATTTTCTTTTAAATGCTTTTGCAACATTTCATATATGACAAATCCTAAGAGGTAAAAAAAAGAATTTCCAGCCAGCCCTCTGTCCCAGGGCTTCACAAGGTGGGGGTAGGGGAAGTGGTGGTACTTTGTGCCCACCATTAAGCATACAGGAGTCTCACTCTGTTCTTTGCCTGGAGGTTATTTATATTTAAACACTTACAGTACCTGAAATATTAGATATTGAAGTACATAAAAGGTAGAATTGAAAATTCCACAACTCTGTTCTGATACATAGATAAACTTTTATTTATATGCCAAAGGGAAAAACCAATATTCACCTAAGGCTGCTGAATCCATATTTGTAATAGTAAAGATGCTTAATTTACTATCCACCTTTAAAAGGCTTCATATAAAATATAGCTAGGAATATACATTCAGATTATAAAACTCTCCAGGAAATCAATGGTCA